CAAAGACACCTCCAAAAAGGAGAACTATAGGCCAATCTCCTTAATGAACATTGATGCAAAAATCCTCAACAAAATAATGGCAAACCGAATTCAACAACACATCAAAAAGATTATTCACCACGACCAAGTAGGCTTCATCCCAGGAATGCAGGGTGGTTCAACATGAAAATCAATAAACGTAATAAACCACATTAACAGAAGCAAAGACAAAAACCACTTGATCATCTCAATAGATGCAGAAAAAGCCTTTGATAAGATCCAACACCATTTCATGATAAAAGCTCTAAGAAAACTAGGAATAGAAGGAAAGTACCTCAACATTATAAAAGCTATATATGACAAACCTACAGCCAGCATTATACTTAACGATGAAAAACTGAAACCATTCCCTCTAAAATCAGGAACCAGACAAGGATGCCCACTATCTCCATTCCTATTCAACATAGTACTAGAATTCCTAGCAAGAGCAATTAGGCAAGAAGAAGGAATAAAAGGAATACAAATAGGTAAAGAAACTGTCAAAATATCCCTATTTGCAGACGACATGATCCTATACCTTAAAGACCCAAAAAACTCTACTCAGAAGCTTCTAGACATCATCAATAGCTACAGCAAGGTAGCAGGATATAAAATCAACATAGAAAAATCATTAGCATTTCTATACACTAACAATGAGCAAACTGAAAAAGAATGTATGAAAACAATTCCATTTACAATAGCCTCAAAAAAAATCAAATACCTAGGTGTAAACCTAACAAAAGATGTGAAAGACCTCTACAAGGAAAACTATACACTTCTGAAGAAAGAGATTGAGGAAGACTATAGAAAGTGGAGAGATCTCCCATGCTCATGGATTGGTAGAATCAACATAGTAAAAATGTCATACTCCCAAAAGTAATCTACATGTTTAATGCAATTCCCATCAAAATTCCAATGACATTCATTAAAGAGATTGAAAAATCTACCGTTAAATTTATATGGAAACACAAGAGGCCACGAATAGCCAAGGCAATACTCAGTCAAAAGAACAATGCTGGAGGTATCACAATACCTGACTTCAAACTATATTACAAAGCAATAACAATAAAAACAGCATGGTACTGGCACAAAAACAGACATGAAGACCAGTGGAACAGAATAGAGGACCCAGATATGAAGCCACACAACTATAACCAACTTGTCTTTGACAAAGGAGCTAAAATATACGATGGAGAAAAGACAGACTTTTCAACAAAAACTGCTGGGAAAACTGGTTAGCAGTCTGCAAAAAACTGAAACTAGATCCATGTATATCACCCTATGCCAATATTAACTCAAAATGGATCAAGGATCTTAATATCAGACCCCAAACTCTAAAGTTGGTACAGGAAAGAGTAGGAAATATTCTGGAATTAATAGGTATAGGTAAGAACTTTCTCAGTGGAACCCAGCAGCACAGCAACTAAGAGCATAGATAAATGGGACCTCATAAAACTAAAAAGCTTCTGCTCAACAAAAGAAATGGTCTCTAAACTGAAGAGAACACCCACACAGTGGGAGAAAATATTTGCCAGCTACACATCAGACAAAGGACTAATAACCAGAATATATAGGGAACTTAAAAAACTAAATTCTCCCAAAACTAAAGAACCAATAAAGAAAGGGGCAAGTGAACTAAACAGAACTTTCTCAAAAGAAGAAATTCAAATGGCCAAAAAACACATGAAAAAATGCTCACCATCTCTAGCATTAAAGGAAATGCAAATTAAAACCACGCTAAGATTCCACCTCACCCCTGTTAGAATAGCCATCATTTGCGACACCACCAACAACAGGTGTTGGCGAGGATGCGGGGAAAAAGGAACCCTCTTAACACTGTTGGTGGGAATGTAAACTAGTACAACCACTCTGGAAAAACATTTGGAGGCTACTTAAAAAGCTAAACATTGATCTACCATTTGATCCAGCAATACCACTCTTGGGGATAAACCCAAAAGACTGTGACACAGGTTACTCCAGAGGCACCTGCACACCCATGTTTATTGCAGCACTATTCACAATAGCCAAGTTATGGAAACAGTCAAGATGCCCCACCACTGACGAATGGATCAAGAAAATGTGGTATCTATACACAATGGAATTTTATGCAGCCATGAAGAAGAACAAAATGTTATCACTCGCAGGTAAATGGATGGAATTGGAGAACATCATTCTGAGTGAGGTTAGCCTGGCTCAAAAGACCAAAAATCGTATGTTCTCCCTCATATGTGGACATTAGATCAAGGGCAAACACAACAAGGGGATGGGACTTTGAGCACATGATAAAAGCGAGAGCACACAAGGAAGGGGTGAGGATAGGTAAGACACCTAAAAAATTAGTTAGCATTTGTTGCCCTCATCGCAGAGAAACTAAAGCAGATACCTTAAAGCAACTGAGGCCAATAGGAGAAGGGGACCAGGAACTAGAGAAAAGGTTAGATCAAAAAGAATTAACCTAGAAGGTAACACCCACGCACAGGAAATCAATGCGAGTCAACTCCCTGTACAGCTATCCTTATCTCAACCAGCAAAAACCCTGTTCCTTCCTATTATTGCTTATACTCTCTCTACAACAAAATTAGAGATAAGGGCAAAATAGTTTCTGCTGGGTATTGAGTGGGTGGGGGGGTGGTAAGGGAGGTGGTGGGGGAAGGGGGGAGAAATGACTCAAACATTGTATGCACATATGAATAACAATTTTAAAAAGATGGAGACCCTAAAAAAAAAAAACAGCAGTCACCAGGAGACAGTCTCAGAATCCTCTCCCCTGATGTGGTGTGGGTTTGTTGTTGTCATGGTGATGGGAAGAGGCAGGAGAAGACAATGTCATATGGGGACCCAGAAACTCTTGGTGACAGATCCCCCGGAGTCAGCCTTGACCCTGGTGTCCCTGATTTGCTGCATAGGTCTTATTAACGGTGACTATAACCCCCCAAGATACACTGAGCTGACTGCTCCCTCCTTCCTCTTTAAGGGGTCACATCTGCTAGGGAATGAGACTTCCTTCTTATTAGCTCCTCCTGCCCTCTCTCTCAGGCTTCCTAGCATGATAATGAGGTCCCTGGACAGGGACAGCTTCCTGGCTTAGCCAGAACAGCCTCTAACCACCATGATGTACTTGGGAAATCACAGCACCCCTTTGAAGCCTCAGGTTTCTCATCCATGAATGGGGTGATGGCTGGCTGTGGTGGCACCCACCTGTAGTCCTAGCTAATTCGGAGACTGAGACAGGAAGGATTGAGGGTTCAAGGCCAGCTTGGGCTAGAAAGCAAGATCCTGTCTCAAAATAAAACAATTTAAAAAGGGCTGGGGGTGGAGCTCTGTGCTGAGCACTTGCTGAGCATGTATGAGGCCTGGGTTCCATCCCTGATACTGCTCCAAAAGCGGGGGCAGTGGCCCTTCTTACTTGGCTTTGCTCATGGGAGTAGTGGGAGGGGACAAATGAAATAGCAGGGTGACAGCACTTTGTCGATGTCACACTTTGGTGTCAGTGTGAGGGGCTGCTGTTGTTGCCATCACCATGGTCACCCAGCTGGGGATGCAGTGCGGGATGCTCAGTCCCACACTAGCGATGTCTCTCCAACTCAAATCCTGACTCTGCAGAGTCCACAGATCTCACTCTGAGAATCCTGTGGGTCTCAGCCACAGACGCACCACTGGGGCACGGTGTCCACCTGAGCCTCTACTTCTCTACCTGTATAACACGGGGAGTGGCCTCCCAAGGTTCCCTGTGTTTGGGGGCTCAGTACTCAGGCCTGAGTCAGAGAGCCCCAGGTTCAAATCCGAACTGTCTGTAAACTGACAGATCTTTAGCTAGACAGACCGAGGAACAGTGAAGGGTGAAATCACTCAAACCAGGAAGGAGAGGCACTATTTCTACAAGTTTACAGACACCAGAGGGACAGTGCAGATGATTAGAGGGTTAATTGCATGCCAGCAAATTAGATAATTAGATGAAATACACCAAATCCTAGAAAAATATAAACTACAGAAACTTACTTAAAAAGAAATAGAAAATCTATATAAACCCCTAACAAATAGAGATTGAATTAGTGATTAAATGCTTCTTACAAAGAAAAGCCTAGACATAGATGGCTTCATGGCAAATTCTACCAAATGTTTAGGGAATAACGAACTCCAGTCATAGAAACCCTTCCAAATAATAAAGGAGGAGAGGAGACTTCCCAATTCAGTCTAGGATACCAGTATTGTCCCATTCCCAAAACAGACAAAGATCTCACAAGATAAGAAAACTACTAGGCTAGGTGTGGTATACACCTGTAATCCCAGCACTCAGGAGGTCAAGGCAGACCAAGGAAGATTTTTCCTGGAAATGCACTGCTGGTTCAACATCCTGAAAACCAATCATTGTAATTCACATATTAACAGAATGAAAGACTCTCTGGGTTCTGCTGCTTGCTGCCTGGGTATCTTGGGGGCAGTGTGGCCCTTAGGGACCTTAGGAGGTCACCGTTCTTGGCTTGTCTGGAGGATGGAGTGTGCTGGCGAATGCTCAGTGAACAGTCGTGGTAAGGACATCAGGGCCTGGGTATCTGTCCAGGTCACTCTGGTCACTTTCCAGGTGAAGAGACCAGAGTCAGGGGCTGCCATCCTCGGCCCTCTGGACCATAGCACCACACGTATACCATTTCTGCTTCCAAACCTTTGTTCCCATGGCTGCGCCTACCTGGAATGGCCACCTTGCCCTGTTAGCCCACTGCAAATTGTCCCCAACTCCAACCCCACCCCCATAGCCTTTCCTTACCCATGACTTCCGCTCTCCCTGCTCTGAACACCAGGGCGTTGGGGATTTAACACACGCAAAACTCAAGACCTGACTGCTCTTCTTTCTTTCTGGACTCTGACCTTCAGCAAAAGCACTCGACTTCTCTGAGCCACAGTTTCCTGACCAGCACGGTGCAAGGACAGGTCTTGAGTCCCTGCCTCCACAGCCCACGCCCAGCAGCCCGATGTGTGCTTACTTGGCTGGGTGGAAGACGGTGCTCATCTCCTCGGCCAGGTGTCTCCGGAGGATGTGCTTCCCGCTGGGGATGCCCAGGGCAGTGGCCATGGCCTCAGCGTTAAATGTGGGCTCTAGCATCAGCACCGCGCCGTGCACACCACTGTTGGTCAGGTTGTCTGCGTACTCCTGGAGGCAGAGGCAGGAGCTGGGTGGCCCTAGGTGCTGCTAGATCCAAGCAGGGGTACGTCCCGTCCCCAGCAGCAATGCCTGAACCCCTGGGGACCAGCTGATTTAAGAGCAAAGAGGAAGCCCTCCCCCACTCCCAGAGCCACGAGGGTGATGGCCTCCCGCCTCCGAAACAGCCAGAGCCTGGCAGGAGTCCGTTATATTTGTGGAATGGAAGATGTGCCCTGATCTTGAGAGGGTAAGAGGGCTCAGCATCCCGCCAGTGACAAGGGTGTCATAGCAGGAGCCCTGTAGTGGGAGTGAGGGGTTCCTGCTTCAAGTGTCCTTCCCAGGCCTGGGTACTGGTGTCCCATTCATTGATCTGCATACAACTGCATGGGCTTACACTTGCTGGAGAGTCGCCCCACGCCCCACCCCCTCTCACCTTCAGGTCAATATCTCGCACCCACTTCAGCACCCTCTGGTTGGTCCAGACCACTGCATCTGTGTTCTGCGTCTCACATCGGGCCCGGCGCTCCTGGAGAGCCTTGTGGGGAGACAAGGGGATGGTTGCAGGGACAAGGGGCACATCAGGATCACACTTGGAGTGTGAGTCCAGGCTGCCTTTAGGGACCTCAATGTGCTTGTGTAAGGAGGACCACACACAGCTGCTTGGGCCTGTCCCCCTGGAGCTAAGCCTGCGCTCTGGAAAACAGGGAGAAGCTGCTTCTGGGGGTGCAGAGAACAGGAGAGTGGGCTGGAAGAGACCCACAGTGCTGCCTTGTTCTGTGTCCCCCATGTCTGTGGCATCTCGGTCCCCTGCTCACCTGGCAGAGAGCAGGTTCTAAATGAATACTTGTGGAAAACCTCCCCATGTATGTGAGGCAGTGCTTGTGGGGGTCTGGGTGGCAAATGTCATCCTGCCCATGGGGACCTGCAGAGGGGTCAGCCCGCAGCTCTCTCCCAGGTCACCTTCGGCGACCGGCACCAGATCAAGTGCTTCTGTGGAGGCACCGCCTTGCCAGGGCACCTGACTCACAGACCCCTCCCATAACCTGCCCTGCCACTTCCTCCGTGTTACTGTCATGGCCTTCTGGGCCTGCTTCCTTTGTCAGACTGGGATTCTAGAAGCCAGGGCAAATGTCCTTGTGCCCTCCCTACACCTAGAGCTATGGGATGGGTTGTGAGAGGGGAATGAAGAGTTGGACAGCCCCCCTCTGTCCTTCTCTCCTGACCTGAGCTGCTTGTATCTGGCATCAGTCCAGGAATAGATAGCCATCTCGACCCAGCGCCCCCAGGGACCAGCCACTTAGGGTCCCTTGGGCCAGCCCTCAGGGGCCATGTGAGGAGATGCCCCAGGTGGGCCCTTATTGGGGTGGGGAGCTGAAGCCAGGACTCTGCTCCCTGGCTTGGAAGAGTGTGGCCAGGGGCACTCAGGAGTCCATACCCTTTACCATAACCCCCAGGCCCATCTCACACCACAGGACTGAGCCCCTCTGTAGCCATGGACCTCTTCTCTGGGTCTTTGCTCTGCTATTCCCACAAGTCTAGCCACAGCTCCCTGGAATCCCACCACTGGATCTGATGTTAGCTTCAGCATGTCTGAGAAGCCCTCCCAGAGCTGGAGGTTTCTTCTGGAAGCTTCGCTGGGTTTTCATGAAGCCCAGGGCTTCCCTCATTAGGACAATCTTCCACAGCAATATCACTTCTAACTTCCTCATGGTACTGCCTGAAAAGCAGAGAGCTCTCAGAGGATGAGGGTTCCTCATTTCTCCTGAACTGAGCATAGGCCCTGGCCTAGCTAAATAAGCAGTTGTTGAAAGAAGGGAGGGAGTGAGGAAGCGATGGGTGGATGGATAGATGCATGGATGGATAGACACATGGATTGAGGGATGGGTGGGTGAATGGATGAATGGATGGTTGGTGGATGGGTGGGTGGGTGGATGGATGGACAGATGCATGTATCAATAGACGGGTGGGTGGGTGGGTGAACAGATGTTTAGGTGGATGAGTTGATGGATGGGTGGGTGGGTGGGTGGGCAGGTAGGCAGGCAGTGAATGTCAGAGGGTCAAGAGGGGTTGTGGCAGGCCCCGCCCCACCCCTGCACCCCTGTCCTCACCTCCCTGCTGAAGTTCACTTGGTAGAGCAGCTCAATCCCCAGCAGGATGCTGACCTGGTGGAACTTCTTGGACACATTCAGGTGCTTCTCCAGGTCTCGCTTCATCAGGGAGTTCAGCATCCGTCCATCAACCAGGTGGCTCTGGAAGGCCTGGGAGTACTGGGGCAGGCCAATGTCATTCAGCCAGGCCTTGGCCACCCAGTGGTGGTCCAGGTCAGCAGCTTTGGACAGGCTGGTGAGGAGAGACATGGCCAGAGGAGGGGGTGGGTGAGGAAAGGTAGCAGAAAAAGAGAGGCAGGCAGAAACAGGAGCAGAGATGGCCAGAGGGAAAACAACAGTGTGTGTTGCGGTGGGGGGGGGGGGCAAGAAAGTCATGGAGGCAGACAGGGATGGAGATGGAGGAGAGAGAGAGAGAGAGAGAGAGAGAGAGAGAGAGAGAGAGCAGAGATGGAGAGAGGTGGGTGGGGTGGGAGGAGAGAGACTGAGACAAAGACAGAGATGAGAGGAGAGAGAGAGAGTCAGAGACCCAAAGAACAGAAAGGGATCAAAACGGACAAAAGGAGTAGGAAGTGACCACATTCAGATACACTAAGAGTGACAGGGATGGGGACAGCAGAAGGAACACAAGCAGCACCTCTGGAAGACCTCTTCCCACCTTGGCCTACCTCTGTTTCCCCAGGGGCTCTGCAGTGCTCCGAGACACATGAAGCCCACCTTGATTGGCATATCCCTCCCCAGGCAAGTCCCTCTACTGCCCTCTGCTCTGTGTGGAGACTGACAACAGACACCGGTGATGGCCACTGTGGAGTGTCACTCACTTCCTATCCTGGGAAGTGCTGACGAAGAGGTGTCCACACACTGGGATCAGAATTAAAACCCAGGTTTTGCTTATTCCCAGCCCTCTCTCCTGCGACCTCACGGCAGTATCTCAGACTTCTCCGTGTCCCACATAGGACACAGACTCCAGTCTCATACACATAGTATGTGCACAACAAAATCTTTTCAGAGGGCCAAGGGATGGATGAACTGGTGAGGGTGGTCTCTGGCTGTCATTTCTCTGCTCACCACTTGATGGCAGCCTTGCAGAAAGAATGAGGTTGACAGCCTCCCACCTGTGGAAGGACTCTGAAAATTGACCTGGGATGCTGCCAGGTAAGAAAGCAGCATTGTCTACGGGAGGTGAGGAGAAAGGAATATGAAGAAAGCACTAAGTGCAAGGGAAAGTGGTGGGCTTGAAACAGATCCTGCCCTCTTTCTGGGGAGGGGCAGCTAGGGATCGTGTATCAAGGTCCTAGATGACTTCCCACTATCCTTCCTTTGTCCCACCTACACCTACTCAGTATCTCTGAGGCTCCTGAGCCCTGTGTGTGAGGTAGATGTACTATGAAATGGGCTCATCCCCCATGCTCTCTCCTGTCTGGGTGATACCCTTTCCAGGGCTCTGGATGGCCTCTGTAAATGCATGTCACCTCTCTTCTGAGCAATGAGCCTTCCTCTGGGCTCCTCCTTCCTCTCCCAGACTCTAACTGGGCACCCTCCTGACTGTCACGACACACCACATTTAATAGCTCCCAGCCATTTCCCACCCTACCAGCCACCCAGCCTCTGAGCCAGAAGCCCCATCCTCACCTGTCCTGCCTCTCCCCCTGCCTGCTTGTCCTGTCCATCCACCTGGGTCACCGTGTCATTTGTCCTTTTCCCTCCCTTACCAGATCCAAACCAGGACCATCTTTGGACTGCTGCAATTCCTCCTCTCCCTCCCCCAATTCACACCCTCCCCCCTTCTAATTCACTTAATTCATGCTGCCAGATGGTCCTTTTTTTAAAAAGAAAAAAAGCAATATTAATAAAAAATGCATTTACTTAGAAGCATTCTGCATGTCAACAAAACAGCTGCGACTTTTTTTTTTTTTTGGCAGTTACAGGGAGGTACTCCATTAACAGAACAATTATTTCCTATTGCTGCATCCAAGACAAATGAAGACGAAAACACTGCTGTCCTTGTCCACACTAAGAACCCACTTTAATACTGCATGCAGTTTGTACTTCCCCCACCCCGATGCTGTTCCAGGTAGGGTTGGTGGCTAATGAAAGCATAGATGGGTCCTTTAAAACACCAGATTGGTCACTTCCTGCTCAGCACCCTTTGGGTTTCCTTTGCAGCAGTAGAATCCAAAGTTCTTCTGGTGGCCTAAGCCCACTAGCCCTCTCCGTCCCACACTGGGGACATTTCCCAGGATGCACTGCACTGCATGGAAGGAGGCTCCTTCCATGGCTCCCTCCTTCTCTCCTATGGTGTTAAATCTCTCCTCCGTCTCTAGCTACTAACCAGACATTGCACTAAAAAATGAATGGATTTGTCTACCACTTTGGTTTTACTTTTCCCACCTGCTGCATGAGGACAGGGTGCATGGTGCTGGGGGCACAGCCAACACTCACAGAGCACTTGTTGGTAGAACGACAGAGGCAAGGGCTCCTGCTCCCCTCTCCTTCCCTCAGCCTGTGCCTCCCCGCTCAACACCCCACCAGGACCAGGACCTCCCCCCTCCTCCCTCTCCCCCCCCACTCCCGCACAGAGTCAGCTCATATGCGCTCTGCTGGGCTGTCTGATTTCCTTGCAGGAATTCCCAGTGGGGCAAGGGGCCCATGCTCAAGCATGGGAGTCCCTGCACCTGGCACCCTGTAGTTAATTGCTGCTCTCCCAGCTAGCTGCCTTCCTAGACACCTGCTCCTGGAGGGCAGGGCCAGGTAAGGCCGCCCGCCCCCCTCCCCGCCCCGCCCAGCCACTCAGACTTGATGCTCGCCAGGCCAGTGTGTTTTGTAGCAAACCTGGTGGGTGGCAGAGCAGGGCAGGGAGGGGCGTGTGCTCTTGTCCACCCAGAGGCTGCCCAGATGGAGAACCTTTGGGACCAAGATGAAAAGGTCCTGGGTCCTGGCAGAGCTCCCTCCTCTGTTTCCAGGACTAGCCCTAACTTGTCACAGAGGGCCTTTCCCTCTGATGGCTGTCCAGATCCAATGCTTCAGCCCAGGTTGTCACCAGAGTGGCTTCCACTCCTCTCAGAAGCAAATGAACGGTGCAACAACATTTGGGGTGATGGCTGGAGAGGCCACCTTGCCTCAACTCCTTGAGACAGGCCATTTATATCAGCAATCTCCATCTGTATGCAGACAATTAATGTCTCTCCCTTTTCATTAAAGTCATCCCCATGGGGCCTCGGCTTGGCAACTCTTTCCCAGCTGTTGGCTTGAGCTATTGGAGCGGGTGCACTGAACACAGCAGCAGGGCTTGGAATGTAATTCAGATGCTTTGTAAAGACTGTCACTGTCCCTCTTTAAACTGGGGACAGGTTAGACCCTGAAGTCCAGGTCAAGTACAGGACACCGAGATGATCTGGCCACTATTCAAGGCAGAAAATGGGGCTGTTCTGGGTCTGCCACTCTTAGATCTGCACCTTAAGTCTCTGGGTGCCACTTTCCTCATCTGAAAACTGGGACAATCTTGCTTCTCTCACAGAGTTGTCATTGTTGTTTGTAACACTAAGATGGTACAGGATAGGGGAAAGGCAATGGATTTGCAGTCAGATCTTTTGCAGGGTGACTTTAAGCCCATTATTTCTCCATACCTCACTTTACATCTTTAAAATGGCAGTAAAAAAACAGGTGTGGCAGCTCACATCTGTAGTCCTAGTCACTCAAGAGGATCTAGTTTGAAGCCAACCCAGACAAAAAGTTAGTGTGACCCCATCTCAGTCAATAAAAAGCTGGCTGAGGTGGCATACGTCTGTCATCCTAGCTATTTGGGAAACAAATAGGAAGATCAAGGACCAGGCTGGCCCCAGCATAGAAGCAAGACTGTATTCGAAAAGCAATGAGAGCAAAAAGGACTGGAGGTATGGCTCAAGTGGTAGAGCGCCTGCCTAGCAAGTATAAGGACCTGAGTTCGAACCTCAGTGCTGCCTTAAAAAAAAAAAAGGGAATGGGGGAGTAAGAAGGTCTGTCTGTTACTGATATCCTAGTGGTTAAATAGAATCATGACCATAAAGAGACAAATGTTGGGTTGGCAAAGGGTTGGTAGGTTGTGTTGTATTTTGTAGACACAGGGAAACAGGGCCCAGGGAGGGCAACATATGCCATTGGTCCCACAGGAAGTCAAAGCTGGACATGTTCTCAGTGATGACCTCACTTGCGGCTCTTATGCCAGAGGCCATGGACCCCTCAAAGCTCCTCAAGGCCCATGAGTGGGCCAGAAGGTCTTGGCATGCAAGGTTAAGAAGTCTTGTGTGTGTCTTCTGGGGATTATTTATTAAGTGTTTACCACATTCTCAGAGAAGCCAGGATGCTGGAGATGAGGCTCAAGTGGCAGAGCGCCTACCTAGTAAGCATGAGTTCCTGAGTTCAAACCCCAGTGCCTCAAAAAAAAAACCCAAAAACAAACAAACAAAAAAATTAAAGGAGCCATGATGCTGAAACGTTTAAAAACCACTGTCCTAACTGAACTCCCTTACTTCACTGTTGGGAAACTGAGTCCCAGAGAAGGCAAGGTCACCTGGTAAGTCAGAGGCAGGCTGGATTTCCACAGGGAATAGAAAACTCAAAGCAACCCTCTCTCCAGGAGAGAGGAGATCCAGTGTTGGGGCTCACTGGCCCTGGGACATCCTGCAGCCCTGCTCCCCTTTCCCAGCTGACGTACACTCGAGCCACTCCATTCTGGGCCTCTGAGACTCTGGGTTCCCAGGAGCTCAGGTCAGCTACTGTTAACTGACCAGTGTCTGCTTCCCTAACCTCATGTGCTAAAGTCTTAACCCTCCATGTGATGGCATTTGGAAGTGGGTCCTGCAGGAGGCCATTAGGGTTACACAAGGCCATGGAGGTGAGTGATCAGACAAGCTCTCTGCCCCACCCCATTTTCTACTCTCTCCACCATGGGGGGAGTCACAATGACAAGGCCACGCAAGCATCCTGGACTCACACATGCAGCCCCCAGAACTGGGAAAAATAAATGTCTGTTGTTTAAGTCACCCAGTTGATGGCATTGTGTTATTATTACAGCCATGTCTCTCAGGGACCCTGGACTGTGGTCAGGACTCCTCCACTTTTGAGGGAGGAAGCCAGCAGCCTCACCTGGTCTAATGACCACAGACACCATTGACTGACTCTACTGAGCGCCGGGTCAGGGACAGGAGGGTGACCAGGATAGTGAGGCTTCCAGGAACTCCAGGTATGGAACTGGTCAGGTGGGCAGTGAGTGAGGTGCTTGTGAGGATCCCCCAGCAGGGGGTGCCTGCCATCCTGCCCCTATCACCCTTCTCCCTTCTATCCACCCAGCCCTGCCCTATAAAACAGCCAGCACCCCAACTTGTGGCAGGCCTGGCACTTTCTGCTGTTTGCTCAGAGTTGCTCAGGTCTGGTCTCAGCACTTCTTCACCTCGGCATGGTGCGTGCCGGGGGGCCCCTCTCTTGGACACACATGGATTTGGTTTTTCTGCTTCCAAGCCAGCCTGATTCTCCACCCCCACCCCTTCTATTTTAATCCACAAAGCCGCTTCCGCAAATAACACCACACACCACCAGGTTTGATTAATTAACTGCACAGGAACGATGGGAAACCAGTGAAGGAGATAATTATGCAAAGCAGAGAGTGTCAGGTTACAGAGCCGGCTCCTCCCTCTCGGCTCAGTGTGTGTGGGGAGGGCTCCTTCCCTTTTCCCTGGAGCTGCTTGGTGAATGGGGGCCCCCCATTGATCAGGAGTGAGGCAGGACTGGGTGGAGGGCTATAAGCAGTGGGGGGGCAGGGTGGCCTCAAAGGAGACACCCCGATGGGAAAGGGCTCCAGCCACCCCCAGGTGTGCTTGCTAAGAGACACCCTCCCACTGGCCTGTGTCTGTACAGGACAGACTTCCGTGGGCCTCTTCCTGTCCCTTTATCTCTGCGCTTGCTTCTTTTCCCCTGACTCATTCTGCCTTTCCTCGCCCTGGAATGGTGAGCTGAGGTCCTGCTATCTTTCCCGGTTCTAGAACGGTAAGAGCGAGGTTCAAGGTTGATCACAGAGGCATCTTGGGTTTGCTTGTCTCCCTGTCTGTTCCTCATGGGGAGTGGGGCATGCAGCTCATCTTCCTGACACCCCAGTGCCCCCACACTTAGTTCAGCCCATTTCTCACTGTTGTGGGGCCCCTACTCACCTGCGGCCCGCCTCGGCATCACGGTAGTCTTCAATAGCCAGGCGAAGCTTGCGCCGGTGCAGGGAGCTGCACACGCCCAGGCCCAGCTCCAGGTCCTCATCGCTCAGGCTCAGCAGGACCTGCTCCCGGGAGGGGGGGCTGAGCGCTGGAGGGGAGGGTGGGGCAGGGAGCAGGGCCTGTCCTTGGCACCTGAGGGATTTGTTGGCCAGGGCTCTGCTCCTGTCTCCCTACCCACTTCCTTAGACAGCACTAGATTGTCTCTGCAGCCTGCATCCCTGCTGCTCAGGTGGGGTGGGAGAACCTTCCAGGTGAAAGAACCTTTTCCTTGGGTCCTGCCTCCTTCCCTCCAGGTAAAGGAAGATTGGTCCCATTTTAAGGACCGGGCAGCTGGGGCTCCAAAGAGCTACGTGCATTGCTAGGGAGGCTGATTTAGCAAGACCCTTGGGCCTGAGCACAGGTGGGCTGGCTGCTAGACTGCACCTCCTTCTGCCCCCAGGGCATGGTGGGGACAGGCCAGCTCCTGGGAGGGTGTGGGTCTGGGGAGGAGGTAGGGATTCCTCAGTAGCCGGCAGCTGCCTACCTTCCCGCTCTTCACATTCTCTGCACAGGCCTTGACGTACATAGGCATGGCCATAACCACCTCCAGCCAGGCCTGCACGGCCCCGGCCTTCCAGTGCGACATGGGCGTGGTCCTGACCAGCTCCACCTGTTGCAGTCGGTCCATCTGCTCCTCTCCCTCGGACAGGCTGAGGCTCTGCCGCGTGGGGCTGCACTGGCTGTCGGAGTCTGCAACACACAATGGCACATGGCCATGCCGGGGGGACCAGGAAGCAGGGCCCCTGTTCCCCCATGCCTTCACCTCTTCAAAACCCAATGGCTTTGGTTTGCCGCCCATCCCCCAATCAAAGATCATCTCTGCTCCTCAAAAGAAAAGGATGTAAGAATAATGGTAAACGTATTCCAGAAAGGAATAAAACTAAAATGGAAAATGAAAATTTCCCCCACACCACCCAGAGACAGCAGCTGTTAGTATTTAGTTAAATATCCTTTGGGATACACAGACGCCCACGCTTACAGACACACAGACCCCCAGGCTTGCATTGCACTCTCTGTTTTGTTTTGTAAGATGCTTTTGTCACTGATGCTGTGGAGGACATCTTTCTATCTCAATCCAGATCTGCAATGTCTTTTGACAGCACAGGATTTATTGGGAGGGTGCTTCCTAAATTTATTGCACCTGCCTTCTGCTGATGGGCACAGGGCTGGTTCTAATTTTTCACTATTGTAAACAATGCAGCGGCCATCGTCTTTGGGCAACAGGGTAATTTATTTTTGTGGGATAAATAGGGCCCAGCTACATTCCTTAACATGCTGAAGCTTGTCCCCAGAGTGGTCTCACAGGCAGAAAAAAAGAAAGTTTCTCCACTACCCCCTTCCACAATCAGTTTGGCAGTCCTTCGCTTGGTAAATGCACTAAGTTCAGGTTACACAGACCCAGCCAAGAGGGGAAAGAATCTAAATCAGGGTTAAATAAAAGCCAAACCAGACTTAATACCAGGAGAAATGACACATATTAAAAAATAAACTTGGTTAGAAACGACGCTGCCAAGATTCTGTATTATCAATCACTATGAAGAAGTAAAACTACTTATCCACAAATGAATAGTGCACAGAATTAAAACAATGGGTGACAACTATCCACCAAGCTTCACAGTCTGAAAGAATAAGGCTATTTTCTTTCTGCTACACCTTCAGTATTGTCAAATAGGCATGCATATGTCCAAAAACATGATGGTCTTATAATGAGAAGATGGAAAAAATGAAAAGCTGGAAAGAGGTGGACGTGGTGACTGGTGGGAATTTATCTCAATGGATGATGCTCCATCCATATGCTGGAATTCATGCAATTAATGGAAAAATCTGGCACAGAGAATGTTTTTGACAAGGGAAAAAGTGTTCCCAGTCTGCTGCCAAGTGAAAAAGGAAAAAAAAAAAAACAATAGGTGCAATGTAATCCCAAAGTGTATTTTAAAAATTAAACATATATAAAATGTAATTTAAATGACACATGCATACATGTATGCATATGTCCTACTAGACGGGTAAATGTTGAAGTCAATCTCTGGGAGGGGGTGATGGGTAAAATTGTGCATGAGTGTGGGTGTAATTGCACGTGCATTTGAGCCCCCCACACCATTCTGTTTCCAGAGTTTTCTGCATTGATTGTACATGCTGAGTACCTCTTAACCCAAATGCTTGGGACCAGAGATGTTTCAGATGGTTCTGGACTTGGGGATATTTGCCTACACGTAATAAGATATCTTGAGATGGAACCCAAGTAAATACAAAATTCATTTGTTTCATAGACACTTCATACACTTAGCCTGAAGGTAACTTTATACAGTAGTTTTGAACATGAAGCAAAGTTTCATGGTGTGGAATTTTCTCAGGTCAGCACTCAAAAAGTTGAAGATTTTGAAGCACTTCGGATTTTGGATTAGGAATGTTTGAACCGTATAGTGTTTGAAACTAGGAAAAAAAACCTAGCGTAGAAATCTTTTTTGAGTCTCAGAGTCCCTTTGTCCAGCTCCCCCACCCCGCCCACAGGTTAACTTCTTGAGGGACTTTGAAAATCACTGTGCCCACCTCCCCACCTCCACAAAAACTTTTCCCCCAGCACTGTAGGCCTCAGTTTCCCTTTCTGAAAAGCTAGCATAATGCTGCTGTCCGCTGCCTGCCTCCTTCCCGGGCTGCTGTGGGGACATAATGGCAGTGAGTGTGACAAGGTGGGGGTTGAGAGGTTACTGCCAGCACTACTGGATTTCCCTTTGTTGCTGGGTTGACGGCCTCATCTTATCCCCCGGAGGTGGCAGATGAGCACAGAGCTCTGAGCGGGTCACAGTTTGAGCACGACTGGTACTATGACCCTGAAAATGTGGGAACAGCAGCTGCCGCCTCCCAGGGCCCAGTGTTCTGCCTGGTGACAGGGCTGCCCAGCCAGTGTCACAGGCCTGAGCCACATCTCCCTCCTGCTGGGGCTGGCCTTGTTTGCAGGGATGTCTTTCTAATCAGGTCCAGGGCTCCAAGTCTACGGGGTCACCACAGGCCCCACGGGATGTCCTACTTCTGTCCCAGGCTTCTGGGAAAATGAGGGTACGTGTGGCTGAATCTGGCCACTTAAAATACCAAGATATGACCCATGCTGTCCAATTGGACGAGGCTTTGGAGTTGAGGAGAGAGGAGAGAGGAGAGAGACCTTCGGAGAGAAATAACAAAGACCATAGAGTAGAGAGAGGGAGGCAGAGCAGGGAATGGAGAAATGGACAAAGACAAAAACCAAACATCCTGTGTGTACGCATGTGTGTGCGCATGTGTGTGCGCATGTGTTTTTGTATGCTCATATTGTGTGTCACAGGACCAGCCGGCCGGCTGGGAGACAAGACAGCTGTGTGGCCCTCATAACCTGCGGGTTCAGGCTCTGGGAAGGGCAGAGGGCAGGCTGGCCCCCCAGGTGAACCACACAGGTTTCTGCAGGAAGACTGCTACTCCCCAACTCCCCCAGCCCACTCTAGGACTTGAACTGCCAGGAGAAGCAGCTGCAGAGGGACTAGAGGAGAGGTCTTTGGGGTCCTAAACCATTAATTTAAGGCAGTTTCCATGACGCAGGTATGCTGGTGGTAGCTTGCACGTCTGGGATTCCAGCCACCCTGGCTTTTATTTCTTCTCCTTCTTAACCATGGGGTGGGAATAACTCATGTCTGTATCCAGGTTGCTCAGCCCAGGGCTGGGTTCAGAGGCCATCTGAGCCCCTGGCGAGCCTGAGGAGGTACCATTGAGAGGTGACCACTCTGGATCCTTCTGGACACCAGGAGGATTGGGGGACTTGGGAGTGAGGGGCTTTGAACTCTCTCACCACCCCCAGCACAAAGCACACGTGCACAAGAGCTCACATGTGCCTGCTCACACACCGCAGATTACTGATATCAAGACTCTGATAGTAGGAGGGCTGCCTGGCCGGGCCTCCGCCAAGCAGCCCTGCAGGGTCCCCCACAGGGGTCGGCACATTGCGGCCTCCAGGCTGAGCCAGCTCTTCCCATGGCTTTCTAAACACCATTTGTAGGGGACCGCAGCCTTGCCCATTCGTACACAGCTTGCTTAAGGCAGCTTTCATGCCACAGTGGGCAGAGATTTGCCCACAAAGCCTAAAAGAATCACTGTCTGCCCTGTTGCAAAAGATGCTCTGGAGAAGGCCCAGGTCTAGAAGTTCCCTGGAGTATGAGAGACCTGAGCCTGGATCCAGCCCTGCTGCTTCCCAACTGATGATTGTGGGGAAGTGTTTTCAGTGTTCTGGCCTGTCTGTGAAGTGGGGTTGATAATACTGCTTGACTTCACGTGATGATGGGAGGACCACCGGAGACTTCGATAAGTGACCTGTTAGCCCCAGTGTCTGTCACACAGTGCCTGCTTAGTGACCGAGTGGGGCCCTTGGTCCTCTGCAGGCTCACGGACTCAGGCCAGAGTCCAGGAGGACAGTTTGAGCCATATTGAGCACTTGTCACAAGGCTCGTCCACACTGGGATGTGCCGTAAGTATTAATACACTCTGGACTTCGGAGACAGCACAGGAAGAACTGTTCTTGTTATTTTCATGTTTGACCGCATATTGAAACGCTAATATTTGGGACACACACACACACATGAATATGAGATAGGGTTAGGGTCTCACAAGGTAGCTCAGCCTTTCCTTGAACTTGAGATCCTGTGCCTTATATTTGGGGCATATATGTGTACATGCAATATATTATTAAAATTGATCTCACTTATTTCTTCTTATTTTTTAAATGTGGCTACAGAAGACCTGAAGTTCCACATATATTTTCCCTGGACAGAGCTGGTCTGGAGTGGAAGATGGTCCACAAACAGATATTTGTTTCCTCATTTTATTCCCTCTCCATTGGTCTGGAAGTCAAACTCTGTAGTTTTCTGTTTTTTTTTTTTTCCAGTGGGACTGGGGTTTGAGCTCAGGGTTTCAAGCTTGCAAAGCAGGCCCTCTACTGCTTGAGTCATGCCTCCAGTCCATTTTGCTCTGGTTCTTTTGGAGATGGGGTCTCATGAACTATTTGCCCAGGCTGGCCGTAAACCTCTATCCTCCCCATTTCAGCCTCCCAAGTAGCTAGGACGGCATCTGTGAGCCCCACTGCCGGGCTAGTTCTCTGCTTTGGGCACAGTAGTTCCCATAGCCTGGTTCCTTGGCCAGCAGGATCAGTGGCACCTGAGAAATTATGAGGAATGAAAATGCTAGGACCCCACCCATCCCAGATTCCCTAGAGCGGAGATGCCGGGGTGGCCCAGCCATCTACATGCTGACAGCTGTCCAAGGGATGCTGGTGCATGTTCAGGTTCTAGAACCATGGCCTAAGGGTCACCTTGCAAACTCAGTATGCATGCTTAAATTTACAAAACCTAAGTTTGGTCATCTTAATGCCTTGTCCTAAACAGTGAGAGTTACTTAAAACAGCAATTCCTAGCTGACTCAGCATTCCTCCTTACTTACATGCTGTCACATCCAGTGCTTTAAGTCTGTCTTTTGAAACCTCCATAATTTAGACATTGTCCTCATGGTTAGTTCGTATGACAATGTTTGCTTGCAACAATTTACCTACATATTTGCAAATTTCTTTGTTCATCATTTCTTGTGTCTCCGACCTTCCTTTTGGAATAACTTTTCTTATTCTAAAGAACATGATTGAAAAAACTCCTTTGACTAAAAGTACCAAAAAAGAGCCCATCTGTCATCCATGAGATATACAGTTTGGGGCTGACAGTTGCGTATTTTAGCAGTTTGAAGACACTGCTCCATTCCTGCTGTCTTCCTTTTTAAGAGAAGTCAGCTGCAATTCCATTCCTTCCATTAGCTACTTGGATGATTTTCTCTTTGTCTTTGATGGTCTGCAGTTTCATTATAATGAGGCTAGATGTGCCTTTCTCCTGGGAATCCAATGAGACATAAGTTAGAGTTTTAAGCTCTGTCTTTCCTAGTTTATGTCCTAGTGAGGTCCAGCCGAATCTTCTGTAATGATGGAAATGTGATAAAATCCTCATCATCCCCTATGATCACTGTTAGCCACAGCCACTAGGAGCCCTTGAAAATGGCCAGAGGGACTGAGTTTTTATTTTTTCTAATTATAATTAATTAAAACACAAATTTAAGCAGCATCCTGTGACTAGTGACTATTATTGTACTAGAGCAGGCAGCTTGGATTTCTCCTTTCAAGTTTATCTCCTTATCTCTCTGCATTGCATTCTTGGTAGGTAATTTTCTTAGACTTATTTTCCATTTAAAAAAAATCTCTCTTCAGCTACTTAAACTCATTCATCCACCCATTTGTGGATTTTTAATGTTACCAACTATATTTTATATTTCGAAAAAGTCCAGAGAGTAGCTGGCCTAGGCGAATACCCCTCTTCCTGCACACACTGTCCACACAGCACTCGGCATGTTCTGCTGCCATTACTGGTCTGTCCATTGGCTCTGCTGCATCCCCTAGGTTGGAAGTCAGGTGCCTTTGTTTTTATTATCTGGACTGACAGTGATGGTGCTCAACATGTGTGCTATGTTTTGGGAGCGTGTTGGAAAGGATTGCTAAGCTGGCAAGAGTGGGAGGGTGTGTGGAGTGTGGGGATCTGCTCTCAGAGGCTGAGAAGTAGCTGCTGGCCTGGCCTGCTGAGCTGGGGGGATGGGAGCCATGTTGTGAGTCAGTGTGAGAGACAGACTCACAGGGAGACAGACACACAGAGACAGACTCACAGAGAGACAGACATACAGAGAGACAGACACACAGAGAGACAGAGGGACAGACTTCATATGATCCAAAGGCCTGTGATGGGAACAGTTGGGACTGACATGGACATGGTGTCTACACTGAACTTGGGGCTCTTTGTGTCTTCCTGCCATTTGACACAATCCACCGAACACTGAGGTCACTGGATGCAAATCCTACAGTCAGGGATCCCAGGCCTGGTGCCCACCAAGCCACTGGGACTGTGATAGATCAGCTGGCAGGATGGCAGGATGGTGGGCTTTGGAGGAGGTGAACTGGGCAGGGCGTCTCAGGTACAGTGATTCCACTCAGGCCAAGAGCTCCAGTCACTGGAGTGGCAGAAGCTTGAGAAGCCTTTGCTGTCACTCCTTTCCTCCCTTGGCTTGGAAACAGTCCTTCCTTCCCTACCCTGAGCTTGAATTTTGCATCTAAATGAGGTCAGACAGGCGTGGGGCTGTGCACCTGGCTCCAGAAGTCAATCATTGTGAAGAAAGATGCTGCCCTCAAAGAGATGGGGCACCCCTGCCCCTCTGCTCCAAAGGAATCGTGGACTTCCTGTCAGTGGGGTCACCTGGACTTCCTGTCAGTAGGATTCAGAATCCCAGGACTAGAGGGGGCCCTCACAGTCATTTGCTCATCCTTCTGTCTCAGGTAGGGCCTTCCTGTAGCGGAGGGGACACACTAACTCTGAGTTAGTCATCTTGTCTATGGACCAAGATCGCCAGCCGCTGAGGGCTGGTGAAAAATGCAGAAACTGAGAGGTAAAGGAACTCCCTCATAAGTCATCTAACCACTGTCCTGTCTGGGGAGAGAGGCCGCCCCTCATTGCTCTCCCAGCCCGGGACGTGGCGTCCTGTACCTGGTCCCCGTACCCCTACCTCTGAGCCATTGGTGGCTGCTTTGGGAAGGATTTATACACTACCATTTTCAGTTAATTTTTTTAATCATTTAAAATGTTGAGCCTGTGCCCAGCTGACAGGCTGGACTTGTGTGGCTCCTTCCTGCGCCTACGGCATCCCAGACAGTTGTTTCTTTGGAGTTCAAATGTGTGACTAGATGCAGAATTCACTGGAGCCTGGTGGGGAGGCACGAGTCACAATGGCATTCTGTGTGCCCAGGTTGGTGGTGGCACTGGGAAACAGGCTGCCCAGATGTGTCTCAGTGCCTGGCTGGATCTGCTGCTGCCCTGTGGGGGTTCAGGCCTCCCTGGTGGGCCAAGCACTTGCCCTTGCACCCCAGCTACTGTTGGGGCAGGGAGTTTGATGAGGTCAGGCAAGGGCTCCAAGGCCCATTGTCAATTCCATCTCTTTCCTGAGTGATTATAAACAAAACTAAACTAAAACATATCTATTGGGACTTCTGCTTAACAGTGTTCAGAGGTTCCTGGTAAAGTCCACCTTCCTTGTCAGGCCTTGCTGACCTGGGCAGCCTCACCTTCAGCTCGTTGCCCTTCTGAGCTCTGGGCTGCTTATAGCTCCAGGGCTTAGGACACCCTGTTTAGTGCACAGCCCTGCTCTTCCCACCTGAATGGTGGTCCCTGCTCTCTTCTCTGCTTGGTGAACTCCTATGCAGCATTCAGGGCCCTGTTTAAATGTTGTCTCTTTCAGGGAACCCTTCCCTGGTCACTAGTGTAAGTGACACACACACACACACACACAGAGCTCTCATTAGTTCAGAAAGCTTTTCTGTACCACACTTCTCACAGCTGAAATTAGGTAATATTGTGCAATCATTCAGTGAACGCCTGTGTCTTCCACTAGACTTTGCTCTCTCCACGGGCAGGAGCAGGGTCAGGTTTTGCTCTCTGGGTGTATTTGGTACCTAGTGGAGTGTGGAAATGTTTAGCAATCAACCCTCAGGCTGTAAAGAAGTGAACAGGTTTGGAGCATTAGCTGCTCAATTTCTGCAGGGAAGATAAGTCCCCATGGTACCAAATGGATGTGGAGCTGGGAAGAGATGGCACCGCGGCCACCGTAGCTCGGACACATCAGCTGGCTCAATACAGATTAAGGGAAGAGAGCAGAGAGGGTGGGGCAGGAACAGGCCTCTCAGAGTCACGGTCAGCCCACCTCTGACATAGCACGCTGCTGTGGTCCCTCACACGCACTGCCTGCCCCTGGTCCAGTCCGCTTTGCCTGCGGCACGGTCTCTCCACCTTGGCACTGCTGACCCTGTCCAGATCATTCCTTGCCACAGAGCTGTCTTGTGCATTGTGGGGGTTGAGCAGTGTGCCTGGCCTCCGCTC